AATTGGGATTGGGAGACATGGTGGTGCATTGGTTAGCGTTGCTGTCTCACAGTGCTGGGACCCTGGGTTCAGTTCCTTGGCGGCCTTCTGGTTTTTTATGTTCTTCCCATCTTCTTGTGGGGTTCCTCTGGGTTTCCTCCCACGGCCGACAGCCATGCCGGTAGGTTAATTGGCTTCCAGGAAAACTGGCCCTGGTGTGAGTGTGTCTGTGTCTGTGTGTGCTCTACGATGGACTGCCATCCTGTCGGGGGTGTATCCTGTCTTGTGCCTGTGGCCTGCTGGGATAGACTCCGGCCCCCCCACGTCCCTGTCTTGGATGAAAACGGATGGATGAGAAGTCAGGACGGAATCGCTTTGAGTCAGAGGACTCTGAGGGCACCCCAAAGGCATGAAACTACGCCGAGGTGCATTTGCTCCCCTGAACAGGAGGTGCCTCTTTACACAGAGGGGTGTGGGTGTATGGAACAAGCCATGTTGTCGAAGCCGATACCCTGGATTCTTTCAAGAAACAGCAGGATGTGATCTTTGGATCAATAGCTATTAACTGCCAAACAGGCTACAGAGGGACAAATAGGTCCTCTTATTTACAGCTGTTCTTATTATTGATGTCCAGATCCTTGTGAAGTTTTCATGTTACTTAATATGCACGTTTTGGTGCTTCCATCCAGTTTAAGGCTAGCACAATCTGCTTTTACACCCCTGAGCTCTGTTAAATCATAAAGATCACAAATGAGAGGAGGTCAGTTGCTTGTAGCTTTTAGATCCATTTTAATGAGAATTTCGTGATGCTTTTTCTTGAAGCAGGAGATATTTACACAAGGAGAGGAGAATGGCTGCTTGTGTTCACCTCATTGTTTAACTCTTTTGCTTGATGATATTTGTCATATAATAGTTTACACTATTATGCCAAAGATATTTTCCAGCACTGCACATTAAGACTGCAAAAGGAAAAATAAAACACTAAAACAGGTCAACCAATTGGATAAATACACAGGAATTTCTTTCTCAAAGGGGAGTTAAGCCTTAAGATGGAACATTCTTTTAATGTTATGCATCAGCTGTAAATTGAGTTAAAATGGCTCATTGGAGTTTTTTTCTTACACTTTGACAGACACCAAAGAGGAAAAAAAATGCATCTTTTGGAGGCAAAGTGCCT